GTTGATTAACCATTTTTATTGTGGAGGGTGTTAATCATGAATATTATCATCTTTATTATTTTAATTTTAGAGAAATACATGAAACAGTTTCATTAAAACTTCATTAAGTAGTATATGAAACAATTTCATAACCACATATGAAACAACTTCATCAAAAAAAATATTATATGAAACAATTTCACAAGATTAACAATTTCATGAAAAAATTTCATAAGATTAACGATGGATGAGAGTAGTTTTTACGGTTTTTACAAATTGGAATGATTTTCATTTGATCGCTCCTCAATATATATATATATATATATATATATATTTTAGGGAATTTTTTGTTTGATATGCTTCAAAATAATGAAGACTTTCACCAAAAATAGTGAAAGATTACATTTGGATTGGAGATATTACATATGCAATAAGAAGTGGTTTCAACTACAACATGTGTTTGATTTGTTTGAGCTTGGACTTTAAAGGTTAAAAGTGTCTGAAAGTCCCAAATTCAAATCCAACGAGGAATAAAAATACCCTTATGACCACGAAAGTTCAAATGCGGTAACTCACGACTACACATAAAGCATGTGGTCGCCATGAGATTTGTCCGCTCGCATAACGGGCTGGATATCCATTTTCATTTGCAAAACCAACCATTAGGACAAACCATATAAATTAATCTTATCCGTGCATTTAGTGTAATAAGTATTTGATTCAATGTATCTCGATTATTTCATAATATAAAATGTTGATCATAATAAAAAAATTTGATAATCTTTCATAAATATCTAACTCGTAATAAATAAACTCTCATCATTTTTTATAAATACATTAATTAATTGGTTTGTACTAATGTCAAGGGTTGATTCAGTATCCAAAAGGTGGGGAATGGGTCCCACTAATATTTTTCTTCTCTGTTACATAGGTTAAAAAAACAATTTTTTTTTTAAAACTTTCTACCACAGTTCTCTCGGTAATTTTCCCGCCTTTGCCCCCACCAACAAAAAAAGTACATCGAAATCAACAAAAATACCAAATAAGTCTTTTGAAATCAACCAAAAGTCATGAAAAAAATCCCTCAGAATCGACAAAAAACTAAAAAATCCTTCAAAATCAGCTTTAAAAATACCTCGAAACAGTAGAATCAAGCTACAGATACATCAGATGACGTTGCAGGCATTTATTCTACTTTAAAGGTGCCCCCACCAAACAAAAATTCTGAATCTACCACTGATTAATAGTTGAATTTATAAAAGATATCTCATTAATGAAATAATGCATTTATTCTTAAAGGAAATAAAATGTTGGCATTTATTTTAAAACGAAAGATTATTTAAGTTTAAGGGTGGTTTCTATGTATACATCAAACTAGAGGGGTAAGTTTTGACTTAACTCATATTTCAAGGGGAAAAACAATAAATGGAACTTCATGGATCCCCAATTTGATTTGAAATCATCCATCCGCCCAAATCACCCCTTTCCAACGGCTACATCTCATTCTCATATTCTCTCGCTACATTGTCCGTTGGAACCCTAATTCTCTCTCCATCACTCTCTCGATCTCTACTCTGAACAAGGGTTTTGAAAAAATGAAGCATTTTATGCAACCAAGAAACCCGATCTTGAGAGAGAATTCTGTTGATACTCCACCATCAAACCCTAGTTCGATTAAGCAGACTAAATCTTCTAGTAGAAAGCAGAAATCTTCTAAAGAAAATGCTCCACCTTCTGATATCAACGCTATTCCAGATTCGTCACCATCTTTCACAGGTAAACCCTCTCCCGTCGCCGCTGGTAAATTGAAATCCCCCCTCCCACCAAGACCTCCTCCGTCAAACCCTCTCAAACGGAAGCTTAGTAACGATTTTCCTCTTGAAAATGGTGTTGCTGGATCTTCTGATACAGGAGTCAAGGTGAGTCCATTTGACGTGATCTTTTCTTTTTCTTTTTTTCCGAATACTAAAATTGGGGAACTTTATATAATAGACATCAGCTGGATTGGTATAATGGTAAGGAATTTATTTTAATTTACTGTGATCTGGTTCAAATTAGGTTATTGTGCGAATGCGGCCAGCAAACAAGAATGAAGAAGAGGGGGAAATGATAGTCCAGAAGACATCTGGTGAATCATTGTCTATAGTTGGGCAACCATTTACTTTTGATTCTGTGGCAGATGGAGCCTCAACTCAGGCAAGTTTTTGTATCTTTTAAGTTTATATGAAATAAATAGACTTTTAACATTGATGAAATTGTTATTTATTTTCTGTTGCATTCCATTTGTCTATTCAGGTAGATATATTCCAGCTTGTAGGAGCTCCCCTTGTTGAAAATTGTCTTTCTGGATTCAACAGTTCTGTATTTGCATACGGGCAGGTATGAATTTGGCTTTTCTTGTATAGTGACTATGAATATAAGTATATAACAATTTTACGATGTTATTCATGGCTATTTATATATATTATGCACCATGAATAAAATTTGAGTAGACTGGGAGTGGAAAGACTTACACAATATGGGGGCCAGCCAATGCATTGTTGGAAGAGGAGTTATCTAGTGATCAACAAGGGTTGACACCACGTGTTTTTGAACAACTATTTTTTCGCATTACTGAGGTGAGATTTTGCATGTCATCTCTTGGTTTCATCTGTCTAGTCTATATTGAAGTGCCTTAATGTTCATTTGTCAGTCTACTCACATGTTAATTGCAAATTCGAACAGGAGCAAAGTAAACATGCTGACAAGCAACTCATGTATCAGTGCCGCTGTTCTTTTCTCGAGGTAAGATGATAGTTTATTTATCATGGACTGTTGAACTTCTGCTGTTACAGTTATCCTAATTCCGAAATATTGTATTTACAGATCTACAATGAACAAATTACTGATTTGTTGAATCCAGCTCAAGGAAATCTTCATATAAGAGAAGATACCAAAACTGGTGTCTATGTTGAAAATTTGACTGAGGAGTCTGTTAGCACTATAAAGGATGTGAAGCAGCTTCTGAAAAAGGTTTTAATACCCTACTCTCTTGTTTTATGAAAAAATGTCACAGTATTGGTCCAATGTCAAGTTCCTAGTTGTTCGATGACTATAGTTGACATCGAAAGCAATATAATGGGACATGGCATACCAGTGAGAGGCTATATGTATATATACATGTCTATTGCTTCCGTAGTTTGCCAATTGCAGGAGAATAGTGCATTTAACCAAACCAGGGTTGGAGATTAACTATACAGTTTTTTGCTGTTAGTTTATATATTCTAACATGTTATAAACATAATCTGAATTTTATCTTATTTATATAAATGAAACCATGGCCTTTAAAGGGCTATCCAGATGAAAAGCAAGTTGTACAGTTTATTTTAGAAAGATTCTGCAAAAGCAGGACCTCCATCTATAGCATGGATTGGTCACATTATCAGATCATCTATGAAACTTGTAGTTGTATCCCAGTTTCTAAACTAGCCAACAAAGACAAAAGGAACAATGGCACTATATAATGTTTTTGAGTCTGAAAAGCGAATGAAATTGAAACTCTTATAGAAATCGTACCTTGTTCTTTCATCCATAATCTTTTAGTATTCATTAATTGGCATATAGTTATGATATCATGCAACATGTAAAAGTTTTATATATGTTGAATTCAATATTAACCGCACTGGGAAAGGGACGCTGAAAGTTTGGGCAGCTTTTCTACTTGCTATTATTTTTTTCTATTGATTGGATATCTTTTTTTGATTTCATTGGATGATGTTAGTGGACGCTATGGAGATAACAACTGTTTTTAATATGTAAAAAGTACAACTAACAATGTAACAATCAAGGGTTTTATTGGGATGAATACCTGTGATAATACAACTGAAGCAGCATGACAAACAGAAGAAGAAGCCAATTCTTATTCTTTTATGCCTTTCTGCCTCTGGTGTTCTTGAACCAATCCTAACCTATTGGTTTCCTAGATGAGTGGAGTAATGGTTTATTTTGTGCAACTATGTAACCTTGTGCTTTTTGGGTGATTTGTCTTAACATTGATTGGTTGCCATTTGACAAGTGCTGCAGTCATCACAAAACGTTTGTGTCCAGATTTTTTACTTTGTCTCTGTTTTATGTCTTTCTTAGTATGAAGTTCTATGCAGGGGTTGTCAAACAGGAGGATAGGAGCTACAAGTATAAATTTGGAGAGTTCTCGGTCTCACAGTGTTTTTACTTGTGTTGTTGAATCACGATGCAAGGTAATAAGATTCTGGATGGAGAGGGTAAAATTTCAAATTATTTGCTTTTGTGGTATACATGACAAAAGCTTGTTGATACTTTATATTAGGGTCTAGGGACCGCAAGCTAATTATATCTTGTTTTCTGATTTCTACAAATCAAAAATTCAAATTCTATAGAGCATGGACGGTCTGAGTAGCTTCAAAACTAGTCGAATAAATCTTGTTGACCTTGCTGGGTCAGAGAGACAAAAGTTAACTGGTGCAGCTGGAGAGCGCTTAAAAGAAGCTGGGAATATTAATCGATCACTTTCACAGCTCGGGTATGATATTTGATTAAAGTTTATTTCATTTCTATTTCTAAATTTGAATCTATATTTATGATTGGTTTCATTTATGTGTTGGATTTGCAGAAACTTGATAAACATTCTAGCGGAGGTTTCACAAACAGGAAAGCAAAGGCATATCCCTTACAGAGATTCAAAATTGACGTTTTTGTTGCAGGAATCTCTTGGTGGTAATGCAAAACTTGCTATGGTCTGTGCCATCTCTCCAGCACAAAGGTAACATGATAATTTCCTCCCCAAGTTGTTTTTTTTCTTGATACTTCTAATTCTCTGTGTTTTGACTTTTGACTTCATAAACACATTTGTGCTTTAACTTGGACTGATATTTAAGAATTGATGGTACAGCTGTAAGAGCGAGACTTTTAGTACATTGAGATTTGCCCAGCGTGCCAAGGCTATTAAGAACAAGGCAGTTGTTAATGAGCAAATGCAGGATGATGTGAATACACTACGTGAAGTGATAAGACAACTTAAGGTACATTTTCCATTCTTTCTCATTCAGATACCTTTCGTAGCTTGCAATTTTGTGATACAGAGATTAACTGGAAATGGTATTTAACAGGATGAACTGCTGCGTATGAAGGCAAATGGCAACCAAGCTGACCCAAGTACAGGCTATTCAACAGGGTGGAATGCTCGTAGAAGCTTGAATCTTCTGAAATTTAGCCTCAATCGTCCAATGATGTTACATCAAATGGACGATGATATGGATGAAGAAATGGAAATCGTTCAGGAAGCTGAGCAAGTTCTTTCAGCAGCCACTGAAGCATACAACAATATGGACACAGGTAGATATGGAACCTTAACTAGTGATTTTAAGTTAAACATGTCTGGAAGTAGAATAATTAACAACAAAGATTCTGATGCAGATGTCAATATGAAAGAAGAGATGTCTGAACTAATTGACAAGGGTGAAGTTACAGTGGTTCAAAGTGGTGATATTGATAAGAGAGGGTCAGACTGCTCTAAGATCAATACAGCCAGTCACTCTATAAGAGTTGCTGGAGATGATGAAGAAATCTCAGTCCATTGTGATGAAGATTCTTTAGGGAAGGCCAATGATGCAAGTTATCCATCCACTACCAATTTGTTGAACAAAGAACAGGAATGCATCCCTGTGTGCCCACCCCCAGAATCAGCAAATGACGTTTCTATGGATGATGCTGGAAACGACACATCTTCTTCAAATGATTTGGGGGACCGTGTTACTCCTAATCTAATGATAGTACCATCCGAAGTAACCCTAGTCCTGAAATCTCCAACTCCAAGTGTTTCACCAAGAGTTACTAGCAGCAATAGAAAGAGTTTGAGGACTTCCTCGACATTGGATGCTTCTCAGAATGAGCTTGCGAACAATATATCCGAAGCTATTATGTTTTCCCATGCGAAGCCCTCGAAAAGCATTAGTGCTTTTGCTCAAACCGACCGTTTGGCGGCCAGTCTCCATCGTGGTCTTGAAGTAATTGATAAACATCGCAAAAGTTCTGCTCTGGGACGTTCATCATTCAGGTTTTCTTACAAACCTGTAAGCTGTGAACCAACATCGATTAGAAAAGATGTTGGTGTGCAAACTCTTTCTCAAGAGAAAGAGTTAGCAGAAGAGAAGCCCATTCCGTTTTTGTGCAGCAACTGCAAGTGCAAAAGCTCAGAAGTAGTAGAAGATGGGAATGATGGTTCAAATCTGCAGTTGGTTCCTGTTGATGACTCACAGTTGGTCGATAAATCTAGGCAGCTAGTTCCAAAAGTACGATTTCTACAGAAAGTTTTGCATGTATTCATTTCATTTCTGCTCTTATTCACGTATGACATTCCTGCAGGTAGTAGAAAAGGTCTTGGCCGGAGCTATAAGGAGAGAAATGGCACTAGAAGAGTTCTGCACCAGGCAAAACTTTGAAATTATGCAACTTAATCGTCTGGTATGCTTGTTTCTGTTGCTCATTGCCAATATATAATTAACTTTCATTATTTGACCACCTTCATGCCATCACAGGTGCAACAGTATAAACATGAACGGGAGTGCAGTTCAATCATTGGGCAATTGCAGGAAGACAAAATTGCTCGTCTTGAGAAATTGATGGATGGTGTTTTGTCTGCTGAGGAATTCGTTGATGAAGAATTGACGTCTTTAGCAAATGAGCATAAGGTATGCATTTCATTTCTTAGTTATCTTGTCAAATTTCTATGCTCAACCCATTTACTACTCTTTTTTATGCTTCTTTTCCTGCATGTAATACAGATTCTGAAGGAAAAATATGAAAATCATCCAGAAATTTTAAGGACAGAAACCGAGTTAAGAAATGTACAAGATGAATTGGAACGTTACAAGAACTTCCATGATATGGGGGAGAGGGATGTGTTGTTGGAAGAGATTCAAGATCTAAGGACCCAACTTCAATCTTATATAGATTGTTCGCCTAAGTTGTCTCAAAAGCAGAGTACCGTCTTGCAAATAACCTATCCGTGTGAATCCGATGGAGCTCCATCTTTAAGCACTATTCCAGAATCAACTGTGGAGAGTGCTGAACAGAGATTTGAATCAGAGAGAATCAAATTCATTGAAGCAGAGAGCAAATGGATTTCTCTTGCAGAAGAGTTGAAATGTGAACTCGAAGCTAGCCGGTTGCTTGCTGAAAAGCAAAAGCAGGAACTTGATATAGAGAAAAAATGTTCAGAAGAGCTGAAGGAAGCTATGCAAATGGCCATGGAGGGTCATGCGCGCATGCTTGAACAGTATGCTGATCTAGAGGAGAGACATATTAACATGCTTATTAGGCAGCGCAGAATTCAAGATGGGATTGAAGATGTTAAGAAAGCAGCTACTCGAGCTGGAGTAAGGGGCGCTGAATCCAAATTTATAAATGCCCTTGCTGCAGAAATTTCAGCCCTAAAGGTGGAAAGAGAAAAGGAGAGACGACATTTTAAGGATGAGAATAAAGGGCTTCAGGCCCAACTAAGAGATACTGCTGAAGCTGTCCAGGCTGCTGGTGAATTACTTGTCCGACTCAAAGAAGCAGAAGAAGCTGTTGCTGCTGCAGAGGTGAGTTCCCTATTGTTTGTGCCTTTGTAGTTATCACTCTAATGTTTATTTGTGGTTGCATTATCGACACTCTTCTTGTTTTCTTGTATTTCTCATCTGAGCTGCTTGAAATGTTAAGTTGAAACTTCTATAAGTCTATATGTAGTTGAATAATCACTGAATATATCCAATGCACATACCGGTCAACTCCTCCTGTTAATTGCTTTTTGGAGATGGCAGTTTGATCCATATGCATGATGCGTCACTACTGTTTCTTTCACCTTACCTAGGATGAATTTTTGCCATTCATAGGAAACAAAATCTCCCAACTTCATGAACTACACATGCTTTTCATATGAATCATAGATAATATTAATGCTTTGTGATGATTTATGGTAGGATGATAGTGAAATAATTCTTATTTTCACTAATTTGTAAAGATGTAATAAAATAAACTAGGATATTGAGAGTTCGATAGCATTGATTTTGTCCCTTGTTCCTATATAAACTACAACGTTTCCATTTCGGAATGTCCCATAAAAATTACAACATTTCTTATTTTGGGAAATTTGTTAAACTAAGGGGGTGTTTGGTTAGAGGTATTAAACAGTAATCAATAGGAATGAAAATAAAAGAAATTGTTTGCTATTATATAATATAATGGGCTCATTCCCCCATAAGCCCAAATTTTCATTCCAGATTAAACTGGGGGAATGAAAATTCATTCCCATTTTTATCCCCCAGCATGAACCAAACAGCCCCTAAGATTACGTTGTATAGCCATTGTCTTAAATATCAATGAATGTGCTATCTATGAATATCAACAAGTTTTTCTGTATCATAAAGCTCTTCCACTGAATCTACTTTTAATCTCCCATACGTTTGATTTTTTATGGAAAAGGTGGCTTTTAACAAAATATATTCTGCATGTTGCGTAGTTAGATTATAGTGCAGTGGCCAGCATAAAATAGTGCGTGCTATATAGTACTTTTGATAAAATAATTCCATGTTTGTTGCTATAAGCAATTCTATATAGTTCATCATTACTTTTAGATGTTAAGTTTTTAATATTTTCCTCAGAATTTGTTATCACCCAGAGCCCGTTATAGTGACAGAATTGTTAAGTTTAAATCACTGTTGCAACTGAATTCAAGCGTTTGCCTTTCTTTGTCAACGTTACCCTGCTCGTGCATCGTTTTGTGATATTTCATAATGGTGTCTCTTTAGTCTAGTCACTGATTGTAGATTTGGCACACTGATACATTTTAACATATGCAGACACGAGCTAGAGATGCTGAACAAGAAACAGAGAATGCTTATAAACAGATTGAAAGACTAAAGAAAAAACAAAAGAATGAGACACCGCCCCCGGTTTATGATATGCCAATATATGATGGAGATGAGTCAAACATCACATTTGACCAGCAACCCAGAGACGAATTCTATAATATCGACAAAGAAGAGTTTACCACACTACCAGAACCCTCTTCTTGGTTTTCTGGATACGACAGATGCAACATATAGGTACGAATATTCAATATCCAGATTTGTATGTACTGATAGAAATTCTTGTTATGTATAAATAGCAATATGATATAAGCTTTTAAGGCCATGTCTTTTATCAAGCCTTTTCCTGGTGGTTCTCACATACAGAGAAGACCACTTTATATGTCTTCCTCTCCTCCCTTGTATCCCGTTTGAAATTTTTGCACCATAAGAAGCTGGATGAATTATTTTTTTCGAAACCATCTTCCCAATAATCTCTAGCCTTGTTTTTATTCATTTAATTATTTATAATTTATAATATTTGTATTTCATTCTATCCTCTCAGTTGCCCACACTTCAGTTTCTTCTCTCTAATGATGATCTCATTTTGGAACAATAGATAAGGGATGTAACCTGTAGGGCCCAAGTTATATAGAGACCAAAGGGTCTTTGGATCTCATAATTAGAATTTCAAAATTTACAATCTTGGATCATTTATTTTTGTTTGGCCTTTGGTGTCAATAAGATAGGGGAAATCTTCAAGTAGATCATGGTCTACTGCTTCTTTGTGTATAATTTGAAAAAGAGAAGGCATAGACAGGGAGTTCACAAGTACCATCTTTGGAGCCCTCCTGAATCCTGTTGTCTGGTGAGTCTCCTTCATGTCAGTGTAGACCATTAAACAAGTAGCTTGTGGTCTTGTCTTCTCTCATATTTATATCTTCCTACTTGTGGACCACTAAGGGGGTATACATAATACTGGACCAGAGGATAGGAAAACAACAAAGGAGATAACAGTCCTAGCCATACATTATCCAAAGGAGATAGATAACCCTTCTTTTTCTCTTATTTCTTTCTTTATTTTTCTTTCTACGAAAATTGGAGGATTTAATAAGAACACCAAGACAGGGAATGGGCCATGATGGGGACAACTTGAAAACATTTTGATTGGAATTAGATATGGGAAGAAGGTATTACAAGTGGGAAACTATCTTGAACAGAATTATTAGCTTGGTTGAACCCAAGTGTTTGGCCAACCGCGCTTTTTGTGAGAATATGTGGAATCCTAGTAGATTACTCTCCAAAAGTGTCATTTAGTAGAGAGATAGGATTGAGTTCCTAGAGTGGTAGACCTTGACTTTGATACTATCCACCATTTCCACATCATCCACAACCACAGTTGACCACTAGCCACCACTCTAGCGACCACCTCCTCCTCCACCACCATGGGTAACCACCATATAAAATCATTAAAACAACATTTAGGGGCAACTTGTCTGGTCATGTCCTACTCATGCCAAACACCAGATAGACAACTTGTCTAGTGTAGTCCTATCCAATGATTCCAATCCAATATTGTTCTCTTGTCTTGTCCAGTTCCGTTGTATCTAAAAGTGCCCTATAGGGGAGAGAGAAGAGGCTCCGACATTTACGCTATGTTCTCGAATTTTGGATGGAAAGAAAAGAAAAGAAACGGAAGGAAAGGAAAAGAAAAGAAGAGAAAGGAGAAAAAAAGCTCCTTTTTATGTGTTCTTGAGAGTTGAGACCGAAGGGAAAGAAAGGAAGGAAAGAAAATTCATATTCTTGAATCTTGAGGGGGAGAGAGAGGAAATAAAAGATGTCATTTTTACAAATATAACCTTATTTATTTTATAATGGAATGTAATTGATGGGTATATATGTAATTTTATAAATATTTTAAATTTTTATTAATTCTCTCACTTTCATTCCTTCCCTTTCCCTTCCTTTCCTTCGTAAAAGAAACTCGAGAACACAACGATACTGAAAAGAAATTGTTCAAGTCTAACAGATATGAAACTCTAACATGTCCGTTCTCTTTGACGGTGTAGCATTTCCATATAAAATAATCAAACAACATTTAGGGGCAACTTGTCCGGTCCTTTAATCGTGCCAAACACCAGATAGACAACGTGTGTAGTCTAGCATGTTCTCTTGTCCTCTCCAGTTCAGTCCTATCTACATACCAAACACTACCTAAAAGTGCCCTTTAGGAGAGAGAAAGAGGATCCAACATATATTGAAAAGAATTGGCCTAAGTCTAACTGACGTGAGACTCTCTAACACTCCAGTTCTCTCTGATTAGGAGCAGTTGCAGGTTGAGGGTTATCACCCCTCTGATCTGTAGACTGTAGTTATAGTGGACCAGATTGGTGCTAGAACAGTAACTTGCAATGTAATAGTGTTATTACAGATTAGGCTTTGAATCTAATATGTGAATTTACCAATCAGTCCCTCCCTGGTTTCTTCCCTCAACTGTAATGGAAGATTTGAATGAAAGGAAAGAGGGAATGTAATGGAAATCTGGTGAAACAGAATGGATGTTAGTTGTAAACCTAATGAAACATGATATACCAACCCAAGTAAAAGCTTTGTTAGGGTGGGAAGAAAGAGACATAAAGTTGAAGGGGCAAAGAGTGTAATTGGTGACAGCCTGGTTACTGGCCCCTCTTCCCTAATCATAACTCATACTAATGAACCCCACAAACAAACATCTCTCCCATCAATGCCCCCCCCTAACATCACTATTCCTTTCCTACCTTCTATTCTCTTCTTATCAATTATTCTATAATGTTTAGATTTATAAGTTTAGAAATGCAGACTCTCTTTTAGAATTCTGTTTTTAAAGCGTCAGGTTTATGGGAAAATCGTAGAGAATGAAAAACTGAATAACACATAGTAACCGTTCGTCTGAACAATACGCACTTGGACATACAAGTAACTTGTAAGCAATTTGTTTGGTATGCACGTAATCAAGAAACAACTTCAATTACTTGTATGCATATATGTATACCGTCCAGATGAATGATTATTGACAGATAAACATTGACTTTTGAAAAAGACACTTATTTGAGGACAAATTATAATAATAACGTAGACAGTTATTTTGGGATGAGGAAGTATCATTTTGTACGTACCAATGGACTTGTTAAAGTAGTTAAAACCTTTTCATTGGAGTAAATTATAATTTTCCTCTCTTTGGTTTCACTCAGTTAAATTCTTTCGTTAGATTAGGGGTATTTTAGTCATTTTTGTAAAAAAAAAAAATTTCTTTTTTAAAAATAATGTAGGATTCAAAAATATTCTTCTAAACTAATATGAAACCAGAGGGACGAAATCTGTAACTTACTCTTTTCATTACCACTTAAAAGTCATGGGACTAAGGGGTGTTTTACCAAGTGTTTATCAGCAATAAGTACCTTTTTGGGTAACATTTGCAACCATTTAAATGGATTTTTATTTAACAATTTTTATCCGATAAACGTTTATTGGATAAGATTCTCGATTTTTGCTATGTTTTTTACCAGGTAAGATTCTCGATTATCGTCATGTTCACCTGATTAGGTAAGTGATACCTTGGAAACGCTTACCCACTAAAAGTTTGGTAAACGACCCCTAGATTTTTGCTTTTATGTTACTAGTAAATGATTGGAAATATGTCAATAAGTAAATAAATGGCACAAGTTTTTACTGCTAAAAGTTACCATTTTTAATATGATTACAACTGTGTACCCTCTATTTTTCTTTTGTTACTATGATTATAACTTTGTACCCTTTGTTTTCTTTCTTTTATGAAAGGAATGGTAAAAGGGAGATTCACTTTTTAACCATACATTCCCTTTTATTTGTAAGAAAATGCTTAAAGTAAATCAAAATAAGTAACTTTCGGTTAAACATAAAAACTATGATTGTTTCAATTTACATTTTTCATTACTTTTAAGCATAAAATGTGATGTTATTTTGACATTTTTCAGAATGTTAATTTAAATGAAAAAGTAACGTATTTTAACTTTATTTTTATTTTGGATAACGTACTTTCAAAACTTTCATTTTAGTACATAAGATGTAAAATTTTATATATTTAAGTGCTCGGATAACCGGTTGAAGTATTAACTTGTTACCATGCTGATATGACAAGTGATGTGGTATCCAACTCAGTATTATTTGCTATTCAACTCAATTTCATCTCATCACTCGTCACATCAACATGGTAACCGGTTAATACTTCAACTGGTTACCCGAGTAGTTAAATGTTTAAAACTTTACATCTTAGGTACCAAAATAAAAGTTTTGAAATTACGTTACCCAAAATAAGAATCAAATTAAAGTACGTTACTTTTTCATTCAAATTGTTCATTTTCATTTGCCTTCTCATCATAAATTAACATTCTGAAAAATGTCAAATAAAAGACTAATTATTGTGAGAACTTAAAAAGAGAAAGGTTAAGAGATGGTTCACCTTTAAATCATTGAAATTTTTTGAAAAAGTTTTGTCTAAAAATGCATATGTATTTTCAGATAAAAAATTTCAATTATTCACATATAAACATTTCCTCGATATTAGCCTTTTCGTTAAACCTCTCACTATATATACACATATAAAAGCAGACTTGGGATCATGTGAGACAAAACTGTTTTCGTGAGACACGTGAGACAAGTTTTTCACACTTGAAACTTCACAGCAAAATGCTGTGAAGGTAACCTTCACGGTGTTTTCKCTGTGAAGGCTCAAACTTTTTTTTTTTACTTTCACAACGTTTTGCTGTAAAGTTTCAAGTGTAAAAAACTTGTCCCACGTGTCTCATAAAACAGTTTTGTCACACGTGAACCCAACCCTATAAAAACATATGTAACTTTTGGAGTGATGTTGTTTAATGAAAGTGTGTGACTATAAATGAAGTCTTTAAATTGATTCTTTAATAAAGAAAATTGATGAATCATAATCTAATATCACAATCACTTTCATAACTCTTTCTAACAACAAAAAAGCTACAGTTCACTTATCATGTTAATCAAAAGAAAAAACGTAATATCTATTCAGATCAACAATCAGTACTTCTCAATAGACACAACAGATCAAAAGTCAGCAATTCTCAATAAACATGAGAATCTGTTACCGAATACTGTTTATGTCTTATTGATTAAAAACCATTAAAGAGGGGTGGATTGAAGTTGAATGACATGTTTCCTTACTATTTGCACCAAATAAATCACCTTCTAAAACAATGTGAAGTCAATGTCAATGTTCAAGAAAGTTGGCTCAACCACTATTTGGTGGATAATTACTCAATAGGGGGCCAACCCCAACTATTCCACAAAGAACCCTTATCCCCTAATTACATTCCCTTGTACCATACTTCATCTTTTGCTTCATCAAACAAAGTAAATGACCTAAAACCAACAAAAAAAAACCATTCAATCACTCAGTAGTAACCTCTTTCAATCATCAGATTCAAACATATACTGCTATAAGCATTTGTACATCCTGCTTTTCAGGCTGTACCATGTTAAAGAACGAAGCATTTCAGGTCTGGGAAAAAAAAACCCATGTTTGGAAACGGCGTGTGAATGGAAAAATGATTGGGTAGGTTTGTGATAGTTGGTTTCACTTTTTGTTGTTAACAATCATCATGAATTGCCATAAATTGCCTTAGAATGTACTTTACATTTGCACTAGTGGTACAACTTTTAGGTACAAAGTCTAAGCTTACTTGCTACTTGCTAGTACATATTCGTGATTGTATTTTTTTTTTACACCAGTGAAATGTCGATATCAGCTGTTTAATTTGCAGGCTGAGTTAAAACTGCTTTATAAGTTAGAAAATATTACGGTATAATAAGTTACTTGTTACTGTACAATAATACGCAGGTATAAATGTTAAGTCAGAAACATGACAAACTGGAGGGAAATACGGGGCTAAGATAAGGTTGATACAAGTTGTGATTCACATGTGATGGACCCTATTTAATATATGTTTCATTCGTATCTCTAGTTTTCAACTCCTCATTTATTGATGAGATGGATTATAACCCGACAAATTCTAACGACCAGAAATTATGAATTCCCATCAACATCTTGAAAGCATTAATGAAGTATACTAAATGATTCATTACCAGATTCAAACTTATACCGAATATCTTGTATGATACAACTCATTATTGCATATACCCATCTGGTTTGTTCACATCACCCATCATTCTTATTCAAAACCAGACAAACTTCACTGTTTAATGTCCCCACAAACACCTAATTATGTTTACGTTTTAAAAAGATTTAAAAAACTACATTTGAGCAGATAAAACTTGTACACTTTGTTTCTTGAAACATTTTCTGTTATTTTAAAGCAAAACTGTTAAATTTTATCTGAAAGGTTCAATCACTTGTGTGAATCTAAAGATATCTGGTTCAATGTTACTAAATCAAAGACGTTAGGGTGTGCCTGTTTTAGGCCCCTTTTCCTTCCTCTCTTGTTTCCCCGTTGCTTGCCCAGGTTTTGCCTGCCTGGGCCTTCCCTTGTGGTTGGTTCGTTTCTTTTTTCTCTCCTTTCTCTTGGGGCTTCTTGGCTTTTCCTGGTGGTTGTGGTTTCGCCCCCACCCGAATGCTTCTCTCGGGGTTCCTTGGTTTTTTCTAGTGGTTGTGGTTTTGCCCCCACCCGAGGGCTTTTTAGTGTTTTTTGCTTGATCTGGAGGGGTCTCCCCCCTCCTTATCAAAAAAAATCAAAGACGTTATCATTAAAACAAACTCGCTTATAATCGATTATTATGACATTTCTACAAATTAAATCACCATCAATAATTTAAAGAAATCTTTCTTTTTCTTTTCCCTTTTTTTGTTTGGCCAAGAAAGTTGAAGCAATTATCAAAATGCAATCTTGAAATTGTATGTGCAAAATCTTTAAAGAAATCTTGATAAAACCTAAAAGTTTCTTGAAAAGACTAGAAACCTAAGAAACATGATTGCTTTTGTCCATTTATTCGTTACCAATCTTTATGTTCAGCGTTTCGTATCTGTTTTATTTATCATTGATATGTATTTTAGGTGTTTCGATGATAAAATTCTTTTTAAACGTATTATGAAACTTTTGGCTACAATTCTACAAGTGCCATAGTACCATATGGGGTCTGATGGTTCGTTTTTTGTATTCTTTAACAAAATGGGTGACGAAAATTCACTGATTATAAACCTTTATTTGAAGCCATATGTTATTTGTGTGAGATAAAAAAAAAAGCCGAGAGGACTAAACAAATGCATATATATATATATATATATATATATATATATATATGTGTGTGTGTGTATTAAACGGTTTATAAACGTATTAAACAGAAGTAATCAAGCGAAATTCGGAAATGAATCAAGAAAATTAATGATTAAATATATCAAAATGGTAAGAAAAATATGAAAAAAAGGTTGAAGCAAAAAGCTCCTTTTTTTCTTCTCTCTCATCAAACCCTACAATATTTTCCTTACCATGTTACAACATCTTACTAGTTATAGATTTTACAATGTGCCATCACCCCACCACCCACAGCCGCCACCCACCACCACCGCCACCACCGCCGCCGCCTACCGCCACGACCATATTCTTGAAATTAGTCTAAGATTATACAATCAATTTCTTGAAGAAACCATCAATGTGTCTTCTTCCTCTCTCTCTCTCTATACAGAATTAAAGATGCCTCTTAATTGGGGCCTCATTTATGTTAAAAAGGAAATTTGGTATCATGGGCTCATTGTTCAACTTTCATTTGACCTGTAAAAAGCTCATACATAAGTTAATTTGACTTTTTAAGTCACAAAAAGTCAAACTTCAGAAAGAGTCAACTCACCATGAAAGCTTTGTGGCTGATCCTGGCCTAATGCCATCTTCACAACACTTTGAAGATCATTTTCCCAGAATGTTGAAGCCTGTAATTTCCATTTAATAAGCATTCTTGATCAAAAACCTTGCCATGTAAGCAATTTGTTCGATATGCACATGTCTATAATATGCATAAAAACCAAGAAATAGTTTCAATTACATATATTCACATGTGCATATCATACAAATGAATAGTTACTGAAGTTTTCTTCGGTTTTCCATTTTTTGGGGTTTTCCCAGAACCCCCTATCTCTCTCTCTCTCTCTCTCCCTCTCTCTCTCTCTGTATATATATATATATATATAGAAATATTGGGAAACTAATTTACCTCGGCAAATCCATCAACGGGCGATGGCTTCACGATTGAATTGCGATGCATTGCCGCCATTAAAGGGTTCATGGAAAATTGATTCTCTGATCCATCAAGAACTATGCCATTATTCTGAGATTGGAATCCATATGGGAATGGCTGTGTTGAGTTCTCAAAAGGGTTCATGCTGGTTGGCACAGACACCCGAGACCGAAACAACTGAAAATTGCACAAAATTTACTCCCAAATTCAAACTAAAACAAAAAGAGATACACCCAATTCAAGTTAATCTTTCATGGTCCCAAAGATTCAATGAAAACAGGCAAGGAAAGCTTACATCTTTAGATAGAAGTGCTTCCATGGTGGCATCCATCCTCGGACTAACAGTTGCCAATTTCATCGATAAGAACTGTAAGGAAAAAGAACCCGAAAACAAGCTTTCAGAACAAATTAACATATATTTTGACCATGGTTTAAGAATTTAATCTATTAAATCAATCTTTAATTACCTCGACTTGCCGTTGCAATGCCTGTACATAGTTTATAATCTCATCAAGCATAACAGCTTTTCCTGTGACCTTTAAAATCAAAACCCCATCTCAAATTACAACCTCAAAGACTAAATGCTTCAATCTTGGCTTCAAGAACTGAATAAAAATGGAAACTTTATGCTTACTTTGTTACAACCAGGAACAAGATCTTGAAGAAACTTCATCCTCTCACTGATTTTCTCTCTTCTGACCTAAATTTATCAAAAAAAAGGGAAGAAATGTGAGTTGGGTTTGTGATTATATCATTAGATGTTTCACTAATCTTTCTAATTTTAGAAAGTGAACCAAGATGAATGAATATTATTAGCATACTCTTTCTGCAAGACTATGACTATCAGTAGCTTGACCCCTTTTGGCTCTAACATGAATGTAATCCTTTGGTGGCTCTGATGGCTTTGGATTTCCCTTTGTTTGTTTCTGATTCCCTTCTCCCTTTTCCATTCCCTTTTCTTGTTCATCTGACTTGCTTCTTTTTGCATTTGATTCTTCCTTTTCAAGTTCTGCCACAACCTGCAATGGAAATGTTTCTTTAATCTTTAACAGTCTGTTGAAACAATTGGAAAAATGGGATGATTAGAAGGAACAGAAGGGGATGAATTGACTTAACTGACCTTGTCATCTTTTGCATAGATAGTACTGGATGGAGTTTCTTTTCCCTTTCCCTTTGGAATCCCCTTTCTCTTTCTTCCATTAGTGTTAGTACTCTGGCTTTTCATGCCAGTTTCCCCACCTGGGATTTGTTCAGAAACTGATGATTCCTCCATGGAATCACCAAATTCTATGTTTTCTTGAGTGGAGGACATTGCTAGCCTGCTGAACTTCTTATCAGAAACTCCAATTCTATCCTTGTCGTCTGGAATTCCCATGAATTGAGACCCATTCTTGAAAGATTGGCTACTTGAGACTCTTGACATCTTTGCTGATTCCACTACATGAGGGAATTCAGTTTCTTTCAGCCCAAAATTCTTGCCACCAAAACTTGAGAATCTTGCTGCTCTTTCAACAAATACAGGATCTGTAGGGAATGGAGATAGTGGTAATTGGTGGTTCCCTGGAATTGGTAAATCCCCTGGAATCTGATTTTCTGTTATTGACAGGTTGAGCTGTGGTGGTGAACTCAAAGGAGTATCGTAACAAGAAGTGTTGTTACTATGGTTTCCATTAATGCGAGATTGTGGTGAAATCTCGCCGGAATTGCAAATGCTTCCTAGTCTACCAATCAGTTCCCGGAGAACAATGCTCTCGCCGCCGCCGCCGCCGGAAATTGGGATTCCGGTGTGGGAATTCGCCGGCGACGAGACAATTGAACTCAAGGCAGACTCAAAAAGATCCCTCTGGTCCATTGAATTCTCGCAATTCGGGTTGAAATAGCAATTCCGGAGTCGGTCTGTGCTACAATTCAGCTCACTGCCTTGAATTTCCATTCCAAAGATGGAATTCCAGGGTTGGGGGATTCCATTTCCACCATTGGTGAAAGTTTTCTCTTTTTCCATAATTGAATTGAAATACAAAATGGGGTTAACACTTTCTTGGTAAACCTCCAATTGGGTGTCTTGTTCTTGAACAATTAAGTAAGAAAGATTGAAACTAAGAGGAATTGATAATCTTTTTCGGTTCTTGGAATTCACTCAAGTGTGTGAAAGATAAAGGGGGTGTAGGGGTGTGTGTGTGAGAGAGAGTGTGTGAGAGAGAGAGAGAGTGAGTGTGTGTGTGTGTGTGTGTGTGAGAGAGAGAGAGAGAGAGAGAGAGAGAGAGAGAGAGGGCAGTTGTGAGTCGAGAGATGGGTAATAACATAAAAGCATAAAGAAAAAAGATAAGAGGAAAAAAAAGTGAAGATAAACGTTAAAAATGAAAAAGAATGTTCAATTTGACCTTAGGGTTTCTTACATGCAAAAGTTCGTTCGTTTTAGTTGATTTTCTATTCAGGGGTGTTTGAGATTACTTATAAAAATAATTTATTGATTTATTTCGGTGTGATATCGATAATAAGTATTTCTGAGTGTTTGGATAAACAAATTATATTGATATCAAACCGGTAAAAAAGAGTTTTTGAAGAAGTTAAAACTCTTCTTACTTATAATAAGTTAATAAGCGATTTTATAGAAAAGCATAATTTGTTTCAAATAAGTAATTCCAAACACCTCCTAAATCTTGTAATAATAATCTGTTTGTATATACAATAAGGAAGACTTTTATTTTGAAAGAGGTTTTTTCATAAATGGAATGAACGTGTTTTAAATTAGTAGGGGAAGGTTTGGACACATTCTGAACAAGTTACTTTCTATATCATTAACTCATTATCGAACAGTTATGTATAACTGATCAAATAAGTTGCGAGTCTTATTAAACTCAGTAAGTTGCTAACAGACATTGCCCGTATCTGAATTTAATTCTAAGATATGATATAACTTTCTTTACAATATTACACTGTACAAATTCAACTTCCATCTGTTCTAAATCATTAAACATTTCACAAGATTTGATCCTTGATTCATTACGAATTTACATTCAAATAAGCCATCATGGTTTCTTTTCGTGATTTTATTTGATATGGGGACGTTGCTTCAAATGTGTCATGAGTGATGAACCACTTGATTGAGATGATGCCTAATGTGCGGGTATTAAGAGCAGAAGATAAATCTATTATTTATATTCGATAATTATATTATTTAAATATTATTATCTCAAGTTTAATTATGTGATTTACCTGTTAATTTAACACCGACATCTTCTGTCTTCGTGGGGTTGGAAACTATTAGAATATCGTTCTTCAAGATTTGATTTAGTTTCGGTCGTAATTTCAACAAAGGTTTTTTCTTTCTTTTTGCTGATTGGTTTGAGCTTGACTCCAAATGTCAAAAGTACCAGGAGGTCTCGGGTTCAAATCTAAGAAGAAATAAAAATCCCCTTGTGGCCACGAAGGTTCAAATGCGGGGACTTCGGGCTATCTGCAAAACATGTAGTCGCCCTGGGATTAGTCGGCTCGCATAGCGGGTTGGATATCCAGGTTAATAAAAAAAAGCACACTCCATACAGAAAATGACTGATAGTATGAACCCCCTTTTAGTCCGGTCATGGCTTTGTTTTGGCAGTATAAATAAAACCAAATGAATGTAAGTAGGATTTTCTGTAACGTATTAATAAGCAATACCAATGCTGTGAGTTGTTTCATGCCATAAACAAACTCGAACGTACAAGAACTTCGTTGGACAGACCGATTCTCATCTCTTACAACCTACAGAATCCGCTCTATTCAAACCCTTTATGATGGAAAATAAAGTTCAGTGAGGATTTCGTTCATCTGATGCATACATGTAATGACATCTGCTAATACTTGTTGAATAGGAAAAATGAGAAGAAAAGAAAACCGAGCCTCAATTTTTATATCACATGCCCATTTTGAACTAAAATAACTTTTAAGTTATATCAGTAGATTGCTTCAAAGTCTGATTATTTTAATTTATTGTTCTTTTTTTGGCGTTTTAGAAGTTTAACTAATTGAAGTTTAGAGAAATGATGTTTTTTTTACCCCGAATAACATTTCTTTCCTTTAAAGGCCACACATAATATTTTGAATTTTGTAACCGATTCATAAACTCATAAACAGATACGACCCAAATCGTTTTACGGGTCCCACATAGATCTATGACCATCATTTAAAATGTCATATAGATTATCTTTTCAAATATTTGATAGTAATTAAATTAACATGACAAATACTTTCTTGATAAAAAAAAAAACTTTTGTATACAAACATATCGTTAGAAAACTACAAATTAACCAAAGAGCGTTTGGCTTATCGGATCGGAATATGGGTTTTTGGACTTTTAGAAGGACAGGAGTGCAAACATCACCAACTGTGAATATGGTATGTGAGTTTATTTGTTGCATTTGTCGTATGCAAATACTTAAAAAAAACAATTAATAATGTTGTGTGTATAGAAACAGTTGTCCTTTAAACCCTTGAAAGAATACTTAAGACATGGGCCGACTTCGAATTAACAGTCTAGCCTGGTCATGGACCGATCCGAGTCCTGTCTGGTTTGGTCTAATCCTCTTTGGTCTTTTATCTTGTCGAGTTCAACCCAATGGCATCACTATCGGATCCAAAATCGATCTCGTCTAGCCCATTAGGACGGGTCCAATTGAAGATCACTAACACGAAAGACACGACATTTTGAATCCAGTGTCTAAGCGTAGAAATTACTTTTTTAAGCAACAAAATAATACAAAGACAATAGTTCAATTACATATGCTATAATATATTTCGCATAAGTGATAGGATTTTACTAGAAAACAATTATTTTCTATACTATATTATAAAGCATTTGATAAAAACTCCTAAAACCCATTTTTTAAGCGTAAAGTACCGTTTATTTATGCATATTACTTAAAACTCAAGATTGCAAGTAGATTGTGCGTAAGTACAACTTATTAAAGCTCTATATCTGGATTCGTATAACTAACTGCAGATAAACATAATCAAATACATGATARACATCTCATTTTAAATATAAAAAATCTAAAATATAATTARGATAATCATTGAGTTCTAACMGAATACTTAATTATTATCTTTATAAAATGTTATATTATTAAATCAAAAATAAATTATTTCATTATTAAAATTAAATTAAATTATAATAAAAAAAATAAATTAAAGAAACTACATAAAAATGAGAACTTTTAAATAGTTGATTTGATATTAAATTTATATATATTTTTTTCAAATTTCTAAGATATCTTCAAATTTATATTTTATTTAAAAATAAAATCATTATTGTTTTCTTAAAAACACATAAAATCGTATTTTAACATCGATAGAGACATAATAAAATAGAACATTAAAATCGAGATGTGTCTCGCTGCATTGCGCGAGTAGTCTTCTAGTATTATTTAAAGTAGAGATTAAAAGCATTTCCAACAACTATGTTATATATTTATTTTAAATATTCTATTTTAGAAAGAAAAAAAAAGCTTGTAAATCTCGAAAATATGTATTTTATCATAGATGTTGGAGATGCTCTAAATTTTCATATAATTGTCAAAATCCTTATTTTCGAGTAGGATTTTCTAGGTTAGTTGGCATAGTTTGTGTGCGTATTTATACGTGTGTGTGTAGAGAGAGAGAGGGGGGGGGGCAGAAGAGAACGGAAAAAGGTAGTGACGACGACGTCGAGTTGACGACATAGAAAAACTGGGCATTTAAGCAAGCCGCCCGGTGGAGTTTCATGATACGTTCCTCGTGGCAAAAAAAAAATGGTTAATGATACACTCAACCAACGAACTATGACTTAGTTATTCGTTTACTACGATTCATCTAGTCGAAGTAACTACGAGCTTCGAATTCAAGTAATAACATTCTTGAATCATCAAAACTACTTCGATATCTCTTTTTTGGTTTCCCTGTTGTGACATGACGTTAAAGCTTGTGGCATGCATAGGTCGATACGCATTTTTGTAACGTGATATTTGATTTTTCTTACATATTTAATGTTTTTTTAGTGAAATTTGAAGGCATTGACGAGACGATTATAGTAGTATAATTTGTAAAAAAAACGCATTTTTTAAATACATTTTAATTCATATGTGATTATTTATGTTAATATGATAAGGGTGTAAAATAAAAAATGAAAAAGTAAGGGATATATAATAAATCAAATCATTAATTATAAATTTATAAAATGTAATTAAAAATAATTTGCTAGAAGATCGGGGAGGTTGTAAGCTTTAAAAGCTTATACAATATCCTTAATTGGTTATACCTCCTAAAAAAATTCAAAATAACCATAACTCGTCTTTTTTTAATATATATATATATATATAGTGTGTGTGTGTATTGTCAGGTTTAGGGAAAATCGAAAAAGATGAAAAATAAGGAACACTATGGTAACCGGGTATGTACATGTATATATAAGTAATTTGTGAGTAATTTATCTTATATGTATAAGTGCATAAAAACCAAAAACAACTTCAACTACTTGTATGTATCTATGCATACTGTACAGATGAATGTTTATGAATTAATATACATACATACATATACACATATATATGTATATACATATATAGCTTTATATATATATATATATGTATATATATATATACATATAATATACATACATACATATACACATATATATGTATATACATATATAGCTTTATATATATATATATATGTATATATATATATACATATAATATACATACATACATATACACATATATATGTATATACATATATAGCTTTATATATATATATATATGTATATATATATATACATATGTATATATATATGTATATATATATATATATATATAAAGCTATAGTGTAGAGAATAATTAGAGAGGAATTAATAGAGTATTAAAAAGTAGGGGAAGGAAGTTGGGTTGAACACTCTGTTACCAGTACTCTACTGTCACTCTTTGTCTTAATGTCTCTTCAATCATTAACCCCAAATTTCAAACCCTAAATTTCACTCTATTATTTTCCTTCTTCTCTTTTTAATAAAATATTATGGGTTATTTGTTTACCTCTTAATAATTCAATTAAAAGACAAATTTTGAATCGTTAAAAGGTAAATCTTGTTTGGCAAAAAAAAAATATATTTCTTAATGGTTCTAAAAGTCTCTGAATG